CGGAAGAGTGATAGGCTTGGGAGTGCCTCATAGCAAACGACTTCTTCCACTTCTTTCCTTGATCTTCCCCACGGTGCTGCATGGAGTTCTTCATTACATCATCAGCTCAATCATTCAGAAGTTTGTCCTACTCATTCTAAAGAGAAAGACTTACAATAGCCACCTAGCTGAGAGCACTAGCCCCGTGCAGAGTATGTTGGATGCTTATTTCCCAGAACTTATCGCTAACTTTGCTGCCAGTCTTTGCTCTGACATCATACTTTACCCACTGGAAACAGTTTTGCACCGCCTGCACATTCAAGGGACACGCACAATCATTGACAATACAGACCTTGGCTATGAAGTGCTTCCAATTAACACACAGTATGAGGGGATGAGAGACTGTATCAATACTATAAAGCAGGAGGAGGGGGTGCTTGGTTTTTATAAAGGCTTTGGTGCTGTTATAATACAGTACACACTGCATGCAGCTGTCTTACAGATTACCAAAATCATTTACTCTACACTTCTTCAAAATAGTGTCTGAGGTTCAGGTTCCACCACTGATTAGTCCAGAAGACATAGTCTGGAAAATTTGCTATGAAAGTAAGAGAGATGAAAGTAAAATGCTGGGAAAAACATGGATTGTAAAGTGAAGTGGTAAAAAAGCTCATGCTGATTATATTGACTTTTCTTTGTTTTTTGTTTTTTCTTTTAAGGTATAGGTATATATTTTGGGTCAAAACCACTTTAAATTTGAAAATCTAATAAAATAACACAGGAAGTAAATTCTGGCTTATAGTATAGCGTTCACACTGAAGTCGGAATGACCCTGGGTAGAAGCAGACATTTGTCATCGAATAAAAGCCAAATTTCATAGAGTTGAATCTATCCCATCTTCCCTTTGTATCCATTACATTTTATCTCCTAGATGGATATGGTCTATTATCTGTAGTACAGTGGATAGTATCAGGAGGTTTTACCTTTAAGCAAATAGATTATGTCATCACCAGAAAGGACTAAGAGGTTGGGGTTTGGCAATCTAAAGCATGAGGTGGAATGTTTTAAATTGTGTTGTTCCATATGACTATTTTAATGGCACATGTATTTGTTATATAAAGCCATTGTGTACGCACATAGAACTGCCTTCACCGCTATGAGTGCTGTACTTTGAATCAACCTGTTGTATATAATGAAATCATGCGCTTTCTGCCTGAAAACCAGAATAAAACATCAAAAGCCAAGGTACCCAGACGATTTCAATCAAATATAGCACATTTGTCCATATTTGAACCTAGTGTTTCAGTGCCAGCAACTTAAAAGTCGTCATACATTTATAAAGTTGTTTGCTTAGCTCGTTCTGTGAACCCGCGCACTATTTTTAGAGCCACTTTTAAGAGAGAATATAAAATAATCATGACAGTGATTACTGTTTCCACATTTGTAAATTGTGTACTTAAAAGAATCTCACTTGCCTTTAATTTCTGAATGACTTAGAGAAGACAAAATTAAAACTCACCTGGGAATGTGTGCCTCTTGCCTACCATATTGTCATTAAATAATGGCTTTGGTTTTTATTTTCATTCAATTTTGCTTAAAGTTTCATTCTTTAAATTATATATATATATAAAGGGAAATAACTTTCACTTATCATTTTTCATTTAAACTTCTTTGGATGAATTCTGAAGAAAAACTACAAACCTTAAAAGAAGTTTGTTTTGTGTTTTATGGATTAGAGGGGAAAAGTACATTTCAAGTAATAAGCAAAAAATGTTAATCAGCTTAATCAAAAAATGTCTGTTTTTAAATTTCATTTGGTGGGTTAGGCTCTTTGTATAGTAAAATGATAAGTGTTTGATCTCATTAAACATTTTAAGATTTCATTTTTTCCTGTGGATGATCATGGCTTTACCAAGAACCACTGAGTACTCTGAAGCTCAGTGACTTTGCACTGATGTTGTCCAACTTCAAATGTAGACAAACTGATATTTATTTTACTTCGTGAATGTCACAGAAATTGTTACTTTTTTTGATTATGTTAGAACAACAGCAAAAAAATCCAAAAAGCGCAAAATAGGATATTAGTAGTAACACTCTACTAGTGTGTGTGTGTGTGTGAAAGAGGGGGTTTTTTTGAGAGATTTTTGCTACTGGGTGCATGCACTTGCCAGAGAGGCAGAGAGACAGAAAGCAAGAAATCACCCCACCCAGGGGAATGGCTACACAGCAGTTCCTCCATTCTCCTCTCGGGATTTTGGGCATACGTGCACATGCACCTGGCATGAGTTTTAAGCTGCCGGGTCCAGGACTTGAACGTGGTTGGCTAAGTACACTGGTTATGTCCACTGGGAGTCCAGTGACATAACCATTATGCCATCTGCTGGTCCTGAGAGAGAGTTTTAATAACTGAAACACTTAAGTTTTTCATTTTAAAATTTCCATCATCAGGGTGGGGGGAAATAAAAACGCCATTAATCGCATTTTGCATTTATGGTTAATCTTAGATTATGGCTTATTTTGTCCACCCTCTGACATTTAAATTAATTGCTTTTGAAGTATTAACTCTTTAGATATTTGTAATATGTTCATTTTCTAAAAAACTCCTTATTTTTACTGTAGTCTGAGTAATTTCAGACACGAGTAAACCAAAAACTAAAGTTTCAGAAAATTTCTAGAGCAGAATCTGAATGAAATAATGTACTAGTGAAAACTTGGGATCTTTCATCCAGCTAAAAAGTCAATACTTGGAGATTATTAGAAGTTAGCATGAAAACATATAGATCTGCTTTATCATGGAATCATGATACTGATAGGCTGAGCCATGTAACATTGAAGGTAGTCATTTTTTTTTTGTTTAGTGAAGAGAATGCAAAGTAACATTAAAGCTAAAATTGAAAAGTGGTAAGTAAAATACTAATTTTTTACTGCCCTTCAAAATTTGAAAAAATGGAGGCCGGTAGAGGTGTGGTGGTTAAGGCACTGGACTCCCCCATGGTTGACCATGGTTAAAGATCTGGACCTGGTGGCTCACCTTCTCATCTCTCTCTCTCTCTCTCTCTCTCTCATCTCTTTGGTGAGTGCACATGCCCTAGCAAATTTAAAATAATAAATAATTTTTTTAAAAAATTGAGAAAACAAAATTTTTTAAAAGCCAAGCACTTAAATTTTAGCTGACCAAAGGTTTCACTGAATTTAGAATAAAATAAACATCACATACACTCTTCCTTTTCTCTCTTTTTTTTTTTTTTTTAAAGGCTTTTGCCATAGGGTGTGTGTGCTCATTAGAGACAGAGAGGGAAAGTGAGAAATCACCCTCTAGGAGGGTGATTTCCCCTTCCCCTTCCCCTCCATTCTCCTGGAATTTTTGGACAAGTGTGCACATGTGCCTGGCATGATTTTCAAGCTGTTGGGTCCAGGCCTCAAACTGTAGTTGCATTGTGGAAGTCCAGTACCTTAACCACCATACCGCCAGCTGGCCCTCCCTCTTCCTTTCCTTTCACTTTGACATGCAGGTGCCAAAATCAGACATCCATGGGCTACATTTCTTTAATAATAACACCAGAACAATTTTCAAATCAGTCTGACAGCATTACGAGTAAGATTATATTGAAATATTTCACAGGCCCCTGGGCCTCACATAAGCCAGATTTTGGTCATGGAGCTTGTGATATACTTGCCTTACATTGTAGCATTTCTTAATTTGAGTTAAATTAACTGAAAACAATTGAATTATAAAAAACTGGTACATGTTAACTGATGTTAAGTGAATTTATGATCGAGTAAATCAATACTAAATTCATGTTCCGTGTATATACACTTTCCTGAGATGCCCTTCTCAGTTTTATTTTGTAGCCTCTTAAAGACAAAATCCCTGGAGGAGCCAGGAGTTAGTCCAGCAATAATACACCCTGAGTGTGTCGGGCCTGCACAGCTTCTCATCTGAGCTACCTGAGATTGGGAGCATTGTACTGTGAAAAACCTCTTAGGGGATACCTGTTTCTTTCATGGAAGAATGGAAGAAATAGTTGAACTTTAAAAATTTCTAGGGTAATAGAGTTATGGATTCAAGCTTCCAAACTTCTTATACATTGGATTTATTTATTTGACACAAATACTTTAATATTTCTACCCAAATACTCATACGTTTGTTCAGAAGATTTTAAAAAAATTGCATCAAGAATTGTTTTATTAACTGAGGTTGTGGACAATGTGTACCCTCCATTCGTTTACAGATCTTTTGTAACATAAAAGACTACCATGCTAGCTCTGAAAAAGATAGCCAGGTTGGAATTATTTTTTAAAATTATATACACAAGTAATGTTCCTCAATAATAATTCACACTGCACTGGGACTTGAGCGGTACTCAGTGTTGACATATCTGCTTTCTTTTCTTCTTCAAGTGGTAGTATATGGTTTGCCCACCCCATAGAAACTGTAATATCTTATTGAGTCACTGAGTATCATTGTTAATGATACCAAGTTGTATAGCAGAATAACAAAAATTTGTGACAAAGCAGAGGTGTTTTGTGTGTATGCTTTTTTTTTTTTTAAGTTGTTTTTGTCTCACTGGCATTTTAAATGTTTTGGGTAAATTGTGTAATATGAAAAGTTCAATAAAATGTTGAAATACAACCAGTATTTATCTCTTGCTGATGCTACAGGACTACTCAGGCTGGTGGTAAAAGAAAAGGTAATATTTTTTAGGTAGAAATGAAGGTCAAGAAAAATATGTGTGTAAAATTAAACTTTCTCACCACCATTTAAAAAATTCTCTAGCATCATAAAAGTGATGTAGCTGAACTGTAATTCACAAAACAAAAAATTTGCTAAAGGAAGTTCTCATGTGCAGTGTATTTTATAAAAGTCTTGCGCATTCCCACACTTGACCCTCAGACCTATGACTTTTGAGTAGTGCTGTTTGGGTAAAGAGGAAATACTGGGTTGGAAAAGTCATGACTCAGTTTTGCATAGAACAACATAGAAAAATACGTCATGACTTCTGACAACCCAGTAGACACAGAGAAGTTGTGACTTGATCCACATTAAGCAACTGACAGCAGCTAAATAGTAAGTTGCTTTATACTTCTATTTCTTTATAGGAAAAGAAGAGACAAAAATGGCCAGAAACTCAAAACCAGTTTTATCAGAACTCTGGAAAACACTCAAAGGTTTACAGCGAGCAGGTCAATGCTGAACCAAGAAGACAAGTTGATGGTAGGAGAGCATGGTGGCCTTTTACTTTCTGTGCTGCCATTGCCCCTGGGATCAGTGACAGCTTGAAAGCAGCTCATGTGCCCAGTGTGGACTTGGCCATTTGTTCCAGGAGTAGCATAGACACGTAGAGTGGAGAAAGGAGAAAATATCTGTTAAGCATGAATTCTGTAGTAGTTTTACTTCTCAAGAGGAAGGAAAAAGACATCCCCAGGTAAACAAACACTAATGGAGTTTGTTACAAACAGAACTTCTGTACAAGAAACAAAGGAAGTTTTTCAGGCTGCGAAGAAAAGACAACAGTAACTTAAACCAGTGAAGAAATAACATGAATAAAGATAGCAATATATAGGTAAGTGTAAAGCCAGTATTATTATAGCTTTGATTGTTAACTCCTTTTATGTAATTTAAAGACAAATGCATAAAAATAGCTAAATATATTTTAATTCTCACACATGTAAGTAATCTGACACGAATAACAACAGAGTGGGATGGAAAAGAAAGAAAATAGGAAATTATTACTGAAATTAAGTTGGTATTATTCAGGCTTCTTATGTGAGAGGGTTCTTCAGAAATCTCATAAAAAAACGCTTATAATGAAAAAAAGCTATATGTATTTCAGCATTTTTTGGCACCAAAATAAACTTGTACTTTAATTCCATTTTTCTATGAACTTTTAAAGAGACTTTTAAAAGTCATTTTAAGATTTTAAATGTGCTCCCTGAGGTAAAGAACAACAAAAAAGTGTAGAATATACAGAAAAGGAAAGAAAGGAAACAAAATTGTACACTATGGGACCAGCAGTTAGCGTAATGGCTATGTCACTGGACTCCCATGTAGTCGACCACACTTCAAGTCCCGGACCTGGTGACTTACACTCATGCCGAGTGCATGTTTGTGTGTGCCCAAGATCCTGAGAGGAGAATGGAGAAGGGATTGCGGTGAGAAATCACTTCTGTCTCTCTGTTTCACTCTGTCTTTCTGGCGAGCACATGCGCCCTATAGCAAAACCTTCCCCCCCCCCAAAAAAAAAAAAACTGTATACTATATAAAAGAAAAATACCTGTTACCAAATAATAATAATAATAATAATAATAATAATAATAATGTAGCTGTTGATGAGTACAAAGAATATAAAACATACAGAAAACAAATAGCTAAATAGCAAAAGCCTACATATAATTACTTTAAATGTAAAAGAATTAAACTCTAAATTTAAGAGGCAGAAGTTGGCAAAATGAATTAAAAACATGTTGTAGGGCAAGGAAATGGTATGGAGGTGGAGGCAGCTGGATCTCACATGGCTGAGTGTGAGATTAGAGTCCCAGACCCAGCAGCTTGAAAAACACTGTGTGTGCATCCATGCCCACAATCCCAAGAGGAGAATATCTTTTACTGTGCCTAATTTATATATTAAACTTTATCATAGGTATGTATGTGTGAGGAAAAGTGGTATATATAGGCTTCAGTGCAATCCACAGTTTCAAGTATTTACTACTGTCTTTGAGTATATCCCCTGTGGATAAGAGAGGACTACTGTACAAGAGACAAACAAGGACATTATATGTTAATAAAAGGTTCAATCTACTAAGGTGATGTTATAAATCTAGATGTACCTAGCAACACAGATCCAGAATACATTAAGCAAAAATTGACAGACTCGAAGGGAGT